GAGCTTCATCTCTTCTAATGCCCTTAGATCAAAAAAAAAAAAAAAAACTTTATGACTTTACTCAGAGAGACAGTTTCTTTATTGCTTATAAAGATACAGCACTTATAACCTGAAAATTCTGACTCTAGTTCCAGCAATCAACTCATCTATTTAATTATTTAGGGTGTATATGTCTGTTCACTTGTGCACAGCTGTACAAAAGTAAATCGGCTCTTAAAATACATGGGGCCAAACAACGGGGCTGAGCAGAATTTGCAAGGCCACTGTTGTCAGTTTTGGTTCCAAACTAAGATTCCACCCCACCCCCCCCCCCCAAAAATACTACCAAATCAATTTACTCTCTCCACAGTGTGGACAAGCTGCATTTGAATTGTGAATTTTGAGAATTTGCATGGCCATTTTTGACCGAGTGGATGCTAGAGACTATCTCCCTCTGCAGGCTGAAGCGTCAGAGTCACCCAACCATTCAGTGACACCAATACAAAGGCCTCTGATCAAGTGTACATGATATCCTGGAACTTCAGGTACAGCTGTTCATACATCAGATTGCTCCTTAAAGTGACAAAATCCTAAAAAAAATGTAACATCAACATCTTTTTCTACTTCATTAAGTTGTTAAGCCAGCTAAATAATGCTGGGGATCTCAAAACACAAGAAAGATTATCTCCTGAACTCCTCTGCTAGGGAGCTGCTATAAATTAACCCTTACTTCAAACTGTTGTGGAATTAATTTGCTCACAGCACTCAGGAAATAACAATTCCACTTTGATTAAATTTCAATATGGTTTGAAGCTCTGAAATAAGGTACACATCTAATCTTGTCAAATCCAATCGGAAATCTGCCCAAACTAGCTTAAGGGTCAAGACAGTCGAGAACTGTGAGTCTCTACAGCTGATGCAGTGCAAACTAGACCTTTTTTTCATTACGTTGGGTATACAGTTAGAAAAACTAAGTTCTCCTGAACACCAAGGTCTCTAATACTTTGATCTTAGCAGGTCAGGTTAATGCACTGTTGAAATAGTTGTGGCAGTTTGAGACATTACACTTCCTCAGCTGCCATCTCCCTAAGCCTTCTACCAGCAATCTGTATCCCAGTAGCATAATTATCTGAGCATACTCATATGCTTCAGTTGTAGATTGTAGTTAATTGTAGATGAAAGTGGTTTGGGGAGTTTTTCCAATGAAGGGGTTGGTTCCATGCTCCAAATCTGCGCTGCAGTGGTTCCTATCTTCCTTTCACCTTGACAACTGATTCATTGCAATTCCCTTTTGCCAATCCTAGCACTCAAATGATGCAACAGTAAACCAATCCAGAAGTTACAAAAGCATTCATACTTTTTTTGACAGGGAAGCAAGAGTCTCACCTCCTAAGGACAAGAGAAAACAGTGACCTACAGCTCTGGTTCAGCCTATCCAGCTATTTCAGGAATGCTGTGTCCTGCCCAGATGCATACTATCCTTTTTGGCAGGGTTCACAGGTGATACAAGGTGAGATTCATTCAGCAAAAAAAGTTGTCAACTGCAGGTATACTTCATGTAGGTACTGCCTTGAGTTAGGAATCTTCTGGACTGGATTATTAATATCTGCACTACATCTATTTTGCTTGAGAGCCTCTTATTGCTGCCAAGAAAGATCTAAGCCATAGTGCACAAGCATTTATTTTGCCTCGCCTGGCATGCATGTGTATGTATACGTGCATATGTGCACTTGGAAAGAAAATGTATTTGAAAGGGAAGTACAGAAATTTATATTCACTTGGTACAGAGGAGAAGGAGAGGGAAGAGGAAGAGGAAGAGAAAAAAAGGTCTTAATACCCAAGAGGAAAAAAATCTCCTTGAGTTTGAGTGAGTTCACTGTGCAACACTGAAGCCTGTGTTGTGAACATCTCTCTCATCAGCTTGATCCTAAGCACGGTAAAGCCCCCACACTTACACGGGGTGGGGATGGTGTCACAGGACACAGGGATGGGGACGACAGGACATGAAGGTGATGCTGCCAGTGCACCATGACCTGTCTTCACCACTGTCATGAACAGCAGGGAGAGAAAGATAATAAATTATTACAGCCGTTGCTTACCCAGTTTCCTTTCAAAAAGGGGAGCCTGTCAACAGGTAATTCAGTGTGTGTGCATGACTGGTACGGTACTTGATTAGCATGTCAGCAAACTTGGACACACAGTTCTGGATAGAACAAGTCTCAAATCAACTCTGCTTCAGGTGTTCTGCTCAACCTTCCTTTAAGAAACATTGGTATTACAACTGAAATCCTATTAAGGCCATCAGTAATACTGGCAGATTCCCAATAAAACTGAAGTAGTATATTTTTCCATATACAATTCATTCCTTTTAATTTTTCCAATTTTACTACCCTTCAATTACTTCTCCCTATCATAATCCACAGATTTACTGATGGAAATTTCTATTTAAAATACAGAAATAAAGCTGCATGCTAATGAATCTCAGTGATGAAAAAACAATTTTCACAATATACGGTTAGGATAAAGGGTACAATCTACTCAGAAAGTACTTTAAACAAAGGTACTAGTGAAATGACAAAATATTAACAAATGCTTTCAGGCTGAGTAATTTTTCTATGAAAAAATCATATATCTTCTGTGGCACTAGCCTTAACTACTACAGAAGTCCATGGGCATTTTGCTAACGAGATATTACAGTCAGTGAGGTGATCAGAAGCCAACTGCATAAGAAATTGAACAGCTATTGGTTACACAGCCTAGGGCAATCTCAATTGATATATTTAGCCAACAAAGTTCTTTTAGAAATTTCACTGCTAACATGGCAACATTAGATGGCAGCAAATACCTGCAAATTAATAAAGGGCAAAAATTTAGAAAACTGCACTAGGGTGACAACTGCACGACACAAAGCCCTTTAAACTACAGATATAGTTCCATCAGCCCCACAAAACAGGTGCTGAAGAACCCAGAGAACCTTTACTTCCAAACACACACAAAACCAAACCAACCAACCAACACAATCAACCAACCAAAAAAATCAAAGGAACACATCAAGTGACATCCAAGGCCAAACTTTAAAGCAAAAGAAATACATGTCTTAAAATGATGTTACATGGGAACTTCAAGACCATCAAAAGAAGTGATTTAGTGGCATCACAACAGCTTGGTTTGTCATTGCTTACAGTGTACTACATGGCTCTCTATACTTTCTCCCCTCTCCTGCAATGATTAAGAGTTTGTGTAACTCCCACAACTATACTGCACTTTATCATTATTTGCTAGATTATTAAGATATCAAAAATGAATTAAAATTAAATGTGGATGACATATTTCTCTGGTAAGAGAAAGAAAAAGAATGAACTTTTAAAGTATGATACTTCACTTTTTCCTTTGGATCATTTTTATTTAGTTTCACTCAGCAGTGAAAAACAAAGTGGTGATAACCCTATAGTGAAATAAGTGTAAAGGATTATGAGTAAATTTAACAGCTTGATGTCCAAGTGGAGAGCAGTGACGAGTGGCATTTCTCAGGGGTCGGTGTTGGACCCAATGCTGTTTAAAATCTTTGTTGGTGACACGGACAGTGGGACCGAGCGCACCCTCAGCAAGTTTGCCAGTGACACCGAGCTGTGTGGTGGGTGACACGCTGAGGGCAGGGATGGCATCCCGAGGGACCTGGGCAGGCTGGAGAGGTGAGCCCGGGCAAACTTCATGGAATTCAGCAAGGCCAAGGGCAAGGTCCTGCTGAGTCCTCCTGAGAGAGTTGGGGGTGCTCAGCCTGGAGAAGAGAAGGTTCCAGGGAGAACTTTGAGCAGCTTCCCAGTGCTTAAAGGAGGTACAAGAAAGGTGGGGAGGGAACTCTTGATCAAGGAGTATGGGGATAGGATGAGGGGTAACAGTTTTAAACTGAAGGGGGCAGATTTAGATTAGATCTAAGGCAGAAATTCTTCCCTGTGAGGGCAGCAAGGCGCTGGCCCAGGGTGCCCAGAGAAGCAGTGGCTGCCCCCTCCCTGGAAGGGTTCAAGGCCAGGTTGGACGGGGCTGGGAGCCCCCTGGGCTGGGGGAAGGGGGCCCTGCCCGGGGCAGGGGGGTTGGAACTAGAACTCAAACCATTCTATGATTCTAAGTGACTGCTGGTATAAAATATAAAAGATTCACCAGAATGGAAGAGGCTGACTATGCTTGTTCTGAGCATTTGCTAAATTGTATCCCATTGCTTGACATCACATCCTCTGGGGCTTCAATAAAGGCTGAGGAACATCTAGACCAGATGAAGCAATTTAGCTCTGCTAGAAAATGCCGCTGGAGGCATGTCAACGCTAGAGGGGGGCAGAGCATCACACCAGATGAATACATACTGCATTCCCTTCTAAGGGGCGACAGTTAGAAAAATCACTGGCCAGTGCAACAATTTGGCATTCCCAGACTTACTGAACTATTATGCTGTAAGTGATTGCAAGATAGTAATCTTGTTAGAAGAGACAAGCAAGCTAATTCATTTCACTAACATGTGTCACTACATATCGTTAGAGCTTCAGAATTTCAGGAATTTACCTAACTAGCTGACTTCGTCCTAAATAGCAGTCAATAAACAGCCTAGCAATTAATACAGTGATCTTTTAAATTCGATATGGGGATATAATTGTACTTTTTTTTTCAGTTCATTTTAAGTTGCAGTACTTCAAGAGACATCCAAACCAAAGTCTTAAAAACACATCCTACCAACAACTCACAATGTTGCAAGATGGCAGAGATGCTACTCAAGAAGACAGTGCACATTATGCCAATACATTCATGATATTCCTTTGAGCAAAAAACCATTTTTTTATTCCCAATTTAGTGCTTGACACAAGTCTTTATTAGCTGGGTTACAACTCCAGAGTAACACCAGAAACTATTAAGTAGCAACATAGAGAAAATTGGTAAAAAACAGTAAGAGTAAAGCCTATGGTAACCACCAACCACAGTTTTTGCTTTGCATGGGACCAATTCAATATGTATAGAGTAAATTGCCAACCTACCTCCTTTCCGCAGCAGATAGATGGGCACAACATAAAGCATCACATGCTGGATGTAATAAATTTCTGTTTCAAATGGAAGCTGTGGAATAAGGAAAATATTTGTAACTGTTTTTCATCACTAACAACTGATTTACAAGGAACCATTCTGTTTATGGCCTATGACAATCCCTTCAGTTCAATTATTTTATCACCTATATATATTAACAAAGAGATTACATTAATGGTCAGTGCAGCTAACTGTACCCATTTCGTTCCCCTTGACTCGAACGCAATGCAGCAGTTCAAGTAGATAATTCTCAAATTAGCCAGAAGCACAACAAAGAAGGAACAACATAAGATTTCTCCTTTCTTAGTTAGCATAATTTACCAATAACAATGCAAAACCCTAAATTAATCAAACCAGAAACTATACACACCCCATATGACATAGCCTATTTAGAAAGAAAAGATAATTGCTACCTTGTGAGTGATAGAACTCTATAAATGAGGTCTTTTATATATAAAAGTATATAAATGAATATATAAAAGTAATTACTGAGGAGGCCTGGGCAAAAATCAGTAGACCTGATTCATAGCAATCTGCATGCATGGGTGAAGCTGCTAAACTTCACCAAATATAAAATAACCAAGATTTTATTGGTTTTAAAGAGAAGCTGCAAAAGGATATATGTAAACAAGTTACTAGTTAGTAGTGAATCAGGTATTTCTTACCTTCTGACAACTTCTGGGAAATTACAATTAGTCATTTGTGTGTTTAGTAATTGAATTTACGTTACTACTTAGAGGAGTAGTCAGACAGACTGTGCTAAAATAATACTCTGCTAAAAATAACTTGAACCAGAGTTTAATTTGAGTCCCTTAATCCAGACCCAACTAATTCTAGCTCTTTACCAGAGACGATGATACACTGTATTTGAAAGTTATTCCCATCTGTAAGTACCTTTCCCTGTATCTAGGCATTAAACTAAAGCAACACATTTAAAACTGAACAGCAGTAGGAAAGATTCAAATTCAAAATTCAGAACTCAACTTCTTGCTGCAGCTCACTTACAAAGCTGAACAGACATACTTTTCCATTACTTTTCAGAAGTGAGAACTGGACAATACCACCACACAAGTGTGAAATCTCAGAGGAACAACGCAAAGCCTTTAGTTTTGGTTCAAATGCAGACTCACTCTATCATTCTGCAGGCTAAAGTGAATCCAGACGCAAGTCCTACCACCATGGTTTGTCCATTAGGAGGGGGGGGGGGGGGGGCGGAGAAAAAGGCTTTCCTTTGCTATTACTGTTCTGAGACACTGAAGTCATAGTTTTTAAACAGAAACACTACAAAAATTTCTACATCAGCTGAAGTGAAGCGAGGTTGAAACAGAGTTTGGGTTTCTTCCTAAATAGCAGTCAATAAACAGCTGGTAATTAATATAGTGATCTTTTAAATTCAACAGCAATTCTTATATCCTATTTTGTATGTAAAAGATGCTAAAACCAACAGCTGGATTCTGTTAGTCCTGGCATCTCCCAGCTGAACACTATCAGTGTCCTGATTGCAACCACTAAGATGTTCAGCCAACTCTTAGGAGACTAAGAAGTCTTTTGCACAATCTGTTGGGTTATTTTATTCCAAGTATTCTGTCTCAAAACATAAACCAAGCAAGATAATAGTATGCAAAAGCTTCAAATTTGTGAAGTTTTCTGAATCTGAACCTTTTTTGATGGCCCTGGTTGAAAAACACAGAGGGCAAACTGAGAGACTCAAAATTATTTGGAAAGAGGCTGAAGCAGTTTTCCTAACTGAAGAAAAAGCTGTACCTCTCCCAGTTGGAACAGGCACACTTCAGAAACAATAGCTCCTGATATAAACAACACAACGTGAGGCACTCACTCCTGCCAAGGATCATTCTCTATTTAGTATCTGCGGTTTACATAAGAGCTTCTACACTCACCGAGTTGTGAGGGTACACAAACACAACACTCAGGACACTCCTGAGAACAGAGTAACAGTTGTTTTGCTGCAGTAGTGTTGACAATATTTTTTTGGTGTAAAACAAAACATCTTTTTTTTCACCACAAAAGATTGCTTGTTCTGAAGCCTGGCTAATTATGCAAGTGTATTTCCTGGTATAAAGCTGCAAAAGCAGAATTTCTGTACAACCAAGCACTCGAGTTGTACAGTCAGGCTACAACAAACCAAAAAAGAACAAACACAGAAGATGAACTATAAAGTTGTACTGAGCAACTGACTCACCTAGCTCTAAAGGTCTTGTCTATAAATTGTTTCATCAATAAAGACACTCGCAGATAGCATAGGTCCCTTCTATATGCAAAGAGAAACTACAAGCGAAGACAGGGTAGAAGGGATCACCCATCAAATCTAGGATTTAAAGAACCTCTTAGTGAAAACAAGCAAGCACTTCAGGAAGTGGTAAAGTCTGAGAAATTGAAAAAATCAAAGCGTCGCTTACTCACAGAACAAAGTGAGTCAAAACACTGAGTTGGTCCCTCTAGTAATATTTCACCATGGGCATCCATGAAGGCCACTCCAACAATCTCCAAAGTGGACCCTCTTCAGAGGTCCTGAGAGACTTGTCCCCTCCTGTCAGATGCCCCTGTGGAAACCTGGCAGCCACTCCACAGAGCAGTATTTCCCTAGTGACAAACCACTGGTGTTCATGGTACATTTCTCCAACCACACCTGTCCCCAGAGGGATGCAGGATCACCAGGTATTTGTTATCAAGGCAGACTCATCTGAAGTCTGTGTATTAATTTATTTGCTGGGATTTTTTGTACTAAACCCCTGTCTCTCCTACCAGCTGCCACCATTGCTCTTCCTGCATTTCATCCTGTTTCCCTTACTCAGAATCTTAAAACAACTGATAGTACAAGACAAAAAGACAAATTACCCATTTCTTCTACTAACATATATTCTGGGTTCCCCTAACAGCATAAATGAATACAGAGGACAGGCTACTCTGTTACTCAGGACAAGAAGTTTTTCTCCTTTAAAAGTTCTTACTTGTGGCAAAGCAAATCTGCTTCATCCATTTTTAACACGGGTATAAAATCATATATGTTTCAAAACACACCAAACTAACATACAAGATCAAAACATGATGACAAAGTACTCTGGAAATAAATATTCAGCCTATTCACTGTTTACATTCTGTAATGAAGTTTCTGTTAGAAAACAAATGGTGGTTTGTTTCTAGGAGGAGTTTGGCTCCAAGCAGCCCCATGTGCTTCTAGCCCCCACATCAGCCTGGTATGATGCAGATTCAAGAGTGCCACATCCCCTGAACACATGGTAAAGTCCCTCTGGGGAGTACCGAGAACAGTCAGCAGGCAGCAAACCTCCATCCCTGGAACAGGTAAATTATGTATGAGTTCTACTAATCTAACTAAACTCCTAGCAGCTGTGTACATTGCTTGCAAGTCTGTGGAAAGCAGAAACTATCATGAAGGATTAGAGCTCACCCTTGCATCTCATGGCACAGAGTCACAGCCATCAATAGCAGTCCTCTGAGCAGGTACTTGATGTCCTAACTTAAACTGCTACTGCCCAAAGGAAGCAACCAGGTCTTTCCATTGACTGCTGTAAGCTTTAGAAAAATCTCTTCAAGACAGCAGTAGAGTTGAGCTCAAAAGTCAGATATTCAGATGAGGGCTTCCCCAAAAAGAGTATGGCACACAATACTAGTTCAAACTCACTTAGACACAGTAGTTGGTTTTCAGTGGGCGAGGAGGTTACCACTTTGCTCTGTTTTCTGAAAGCAGTACTCCTCCCACTGTTAATTATTTATACCTTGGCCTTATATTTGCAACAACAGCTCAAGCACTGTATTGTGCAAGAGCTCTCCCTCCATCATCCTCTACAAAGAATGCAGAGTGTGACAGAAAAAGCAATAGAAGAAATTCAGCTCCCACATTTTGCTCCTTTCTGTAGCACATTCAGCACAAAGTCTAGTAAACATCATTCTGTACCAGCCACCTTCTCAGATATAATCAGTAAGTCAGACTCATAACCTATAATCAGTAACTAGGTTCCTAAACATAATCAGTAATCAAAGAAGTAAGCCAAAAATATAGGTTTTTCTTTCTACCTGCAAAGCAGACCACAGAACAAATTAAACAACAGAGAGGAGGAACCTATATATAAAGCTACATGAACAAAAATCATAGAGCGAACAGCTACTAGGCCCATGTAACATAATGGTTACTTCTCAGCATATTTAGGATTGTGATAACAAATTACTTGGCAGAGACGAAACAGCTGCCAGAGAAGCTTAGAAAAACGGTCTAAAAACGGACATGAAGACTTAAAAGAAAACAACACGAAAAAAAAAACACACAAGTGGCATTTGGAAAACAGACTATTTCCAGTCTTACCAGGACTCGTTTTCCAGCATACATCCAAACTGGCAAACAGCCAAGAGGCTGACCCACACTCAAGTTAGTATTACATTATTCAGGCACTTCTACAGCACAGGCACCAGCTTATACTTTTCATGTAGATCAGAAAAGACACTCCCATATATTTGAATATATGAAAAAAATATATATATATCTTACTATTGGCATTAATGTCAACAGTAAGGCCCCATGAAATAAAGGAGTAGCATGGCTGTCACCCATCTGCATAATGGTCTAAAGCAGTATCCCAGATTCTATTTGCAACAATTCTTTTTCATTATATTCCAGGGGCAGATTTCCTGCCATACACCCGCTTGTCTGTAATGGTTATGAACACATATTGATGAGTCCCAATAAACAACCTCTGTTTCTAGTACATGTCTCTACCAGTATCCACCCTCCCAGCCATTCCACACAATCCAGTCAGTGCAGGGAATTATAATTTCCTTAAGGTATTGTTAATTCATCGGTTTTACTGATGAATTTTATCTAGATCGCATTTTCAATTAATCCTGTCAGGATGGGGCATATATACAGTGGGAAAGAATGCAAATCCACATCTGCTACCCAAGACAGATTAGCACACAGGAGCTATGTAACTCATGAGAGTTTATTTTGACTTTTATCAGTGTTTTGTGTATTTGAATAGCATTATATTTGACGGTTATCGTGTCTCATAAAAAGGCATCATTGTCTTCTGGTCACTCAACTTGATTAGACAAACCAGCTCACATTAATGACGCAGTGGACACAATTGGGTATTTGTCATGTCAAGTCTCAAAAAAGAAATTATATGAGGTAAATAACACTAATTTCTGAAATGGCATTTTTCTAGTTCCTCTACTGATAATACTAGGACTACTTATCACCAGCAGCAGAAGGTAGATTTGCATTACCAAATAAAAGTGTGATTGTACACTCCACTCACACACCCATACCATTTTAATGCAGAGAGCATTAATAACTGCTGAAAGATGCAAAAATCCTGGCTTTAGCACCTACCAGCAACCAAAGCACAATCTCTCAACAGCCCCCAATGTGCAACTGTTACGTTATTTTTCCTTGTGCCAGGTAGATTAAGCCTGTTTAGATATGACATAATGTGCTACCCCAACCTATTCCATTTCACTGTGTAGGCACAGGCATTTCAGGCAAACTATTTAATACGGTGAATTATTACCCTAACAGTTAACAGAAATACAGTAGGCACTACTCCGAGGTGCTACACAGAGTGCACTGTAAATACTGCTCAGAGCATGATTCTGTTCCTAAAACAGCTTTAGAACGTGTACCTCTCGAGGCAAGTAATACTAATAATAGAATATAGCACTTCTGCAAACATTAAAACTGCACCATCTCAGCTGTGTGACTGGAGACAGCAAGTCCAACACCTCTGGGACATGTCCTGTTTTTTTACTTTATCGGTATCAACGTTTTCAGGACATCAGAAAACCACTTTTAAACCAGCAGAAAGAGTTTCCTTTAAAATTTTATTAATGCAATATGAAAGTTCAAACAGAAACAGTTAGGCTCTCTAAACACTTGGGAGTCTTTGTGGCAGTTAAATACATTTACTCGAATAGCTAGGCTATCAGGACCTACACTGTATTCCATGTAATATAAATACAGAGTAAAAAGAAATCTTTCTACTCCTGTATATCCTCTTATACCTACCTTTCTAGGCTCCCACATCGCAACCTAACAATCTGATTCTCTTAGTATCTTCTTCTCTATTTACTTAAGGGTCATAAAAGATTACCCTATTTTCCATGTGAATTGTTAATGCTGACGAGAAATTATTTGCCTCATGAGAAAGGAATGGAATTATGAGAAAATTAGAATGCCCCTTATTGCTGGAAGGATAATAAGAACTCACAAAAACATTAACTGAATATGAAACAAACCATTTTATCTTTATCCAATGACTATTCCAATGTACAAAATTTAACTCCATCAACACACTGCAATTAATGTAGCAAGCAACTGAAATATTTAGTTGCCAAATAAATACAAGCGGGTGCATCTGTTGCTCGAGACTGTTAATTGTTGGCACCTCAGCATCATGCCAAGGCAGGAAAATATTTTCTCGGAAAGAACTGAATAGACTGACCTCATCTTTCAGGCTACATTTTTTTTTTGGAACACTATCCCAGGTGCTCATTAAGGTCCAACAAGATTTTTAACAAGTATAGTGTCCCTGAAAGGTTAAAACAACAGAAAGTAGAAACTTTCTACTACAGTTTCAATTAATACCTCAACTCTCCATTTCCACTGGCAATAGATTCATATTTAAGAATAGTTTTCAAATGACTGAGGTTCTAAGAAAATTTAACAGATACATTACAAGAAAATAGAAAATGCCAAATTATGCTAGAAACTTCCAAAAATTTATTTTTCAGGATAATTTAGCAGGGAGTCATATATACAAAAAGAATGCTTACAATGCATTAAGTAACATAATTTGCAGCAAAAATATGTGACCCTACCACACTGCGCCACAAAGTGTTGTAAGATGTGTTCTAGAAATTATTTTGAACAGGTTAACACTTAGAACCAAAATCCCGGCACCAACAAGCTCCTCAACAAACACCCATCAACTGGTAAAGTAATGATTATCTTCCATTCTGTATCTTCTGCCTCTTGCCACCTTCAGACTATTGATATGTACAAATAAAACTGTACGTTTAATATTTTCTCCTGTATCTCATTGCTTTCATCTCCATAATGATATTCAATTCACTAGCTAGTATGTACATGCCTACTGCTGACCTTGCTAAATTAGCAGGCTTCTCCATAAAGAGAATACAGCTCATCGGTCATCATCTGCTGCCTGTAAAATAACTACTAGGCAATCCACGTGGAAGAGAGACATTTAGGAGAACGTAGGCTTAAGGCAATGAAAACTACCTACAAGCCAACATCCAGCTGTATATCAGATAACTCATACGGCTAAAACACATTTTACACAATGAAAGGTAACAGCAAGGCATTTCACTGCTTACGGCATTACACCCATTTGGTACAATCTCTCCAAGGGATGGGAGGCAACAGCCTCCTGCTTTCCAGTCCCCACTGACCTCGGAACTCCCTGCCCCAGACAAGATCTCCCTCCTCGCTTCTAAATTAGCAGTTGCGTTAACTTTTCATACATACACACACACACATATATATATATGAATATTCATATACATACATATAATTTTTCAATAGTTGGGTGCCCAATTTTTCATGCTTTTTGTGCCACACTAAATATTACAACTGTTTAAAGGCATAATTAAGTATACAAAGTTTTTGTATGAAATGTACACACTAAAATATATGACATAAAATATCATGAAGTGGAAATTAAAAAGTTGAGGCATAGAGACACAACAATTCTTGACTGAATCAAAAGTTTTTCACTTACATGCTGCAAACCAGAGCAGACGGCATGGACAAAATTATTGCAATTTTTTTAACTTCCTACTAAGTTTTAAGAGACATTTCTCGCTTTTGGGACAATGTCAGTGTAAAGTACAATGACAGTGGCAGAGCAGAATTTTTGTCTACCACAAGAGAATCTGGGTCAAAGCAGCAGTGCTATAAAACATCACCCACATTATCTTGTGCCAGAAGAAAGACTGAAAAGAGAACAGCCTAGCAAGCAGCTGTCAGACCAAAAATATCCTAAGTTGTATTTATTCCAAAAATATTTGCTCTTGGATATTATCCTTTGGCTCCTCTATCCCTAATTAAGGAGGGAATTTTATAAGTAGTCTGTATTTTTCCTGTTTAATCACCACTGCCCTAATATGAATGAGATCTATGATAATGGCAGAGAAAATAAAAGCTAATGATTTATTAAATATTTAAACATTTTATACTTAAAAGGATACCCAGAAAAATAATTTTGTTATACTAAAGCTTACATTTATTTAAAAACAAGATAATCTGAAATACAAAATAAAAAGAGTTCTCTTTATCAGGAAAAACCATGTTTTATTCATTGCCCCTTCAGCGGTATCAAGTTTTATTAAAACATTATTGCAAATTGCACATAAACTGTTACAGTATAGAAAAGAATGTATGTTGTTACCAGATTAGGAAGGGCAATGTATATCGTGAAAGAACTCTAGGGTTATTATAGTACTAAATCCACTGAAATCTCAAAGATATGATCCTGTGCATGTGTGTACCATGCTTTATGGAAGATTATTTTTAACATGTGAAAGCCTACAGATGTATTATACTCTCTCTAGTAACTAAACTGTGTCTCAGTGCAAAATTTTAAAGAGGCGAAAAAAGAAACCATTTACAAGCCAACAATAAAACTGTCAGTTTTCAGGTCTCCTAGCTACCAGTGTGACCAACCAACATAGCATATCATCCATAAAGTTCAATAAAGATGCAGGTTTTTATACTTAATCTCATTAAGACAGTCAAGATTTGCAAACAGACAGCCACTAACGAGAGCTGTAATGGACCTGAAGTCCACAACTTTGTGAATAATATAGTTAATTCACATGCTATATGGATATAGATACAAGTACTTTATCCAGACACCATAAACACATGAGCAGATAAATTCAAGTGAACTCTATCTTAAAACAGATAACTGCACCAACAGATTTTTGCAAATAAGTCAAATGACAAAAAATAAACAAGCATGTATTCATATACGCATGCACACAACCCCTACATATGCATGCATAACAGCTCTTAAAAATTAATCCTTAGAAATATTTCATATGGCTCAGACTCAGGACAACTTTTCTTACCATTAACTCTCAGACTTAAGAATCTCACTAGGGACACCAACAGGCTAATTTTTCATCCATGAGACAGGAGTTTTATAGCAGATTTGAAAACTTAGATGGAAAAAAGAAACCTGCTGTGCCTAATATTAGGGCAGAAGGGGTGACAGCCACCAACATTATCTGGTATTTTCCATGCCTGAAGAATCTTCCATTTACATATAGCCTGAGAAGCCTGAAACTGAATTTTCACCACAGGACACAACACTAACCCACTAAAGCCTCTTTCAAAGCCATTAAGTCTTCCCTTCACTTAAAGGTTATGATGGAATTGACACTTAAATTACAGCAGTTTTAGCCTTCCACACTGATTTATAAACACAAAAAAAAAAATCCAAGATTGGTATTTTGGCTCCACTGTAGTGACCTCTACCAGGAATCTACAACCTGGTAAAATGAACTTTAAAAGGCCTAGCAAAGCAAAGGTCTAACATCTTTCCAAAGAAAATGTTTTACAAATAAATAAAAAAGGAGGAGGAAAAGTACACTACACTCACCAGGCGTGTATTAACAACAGGAAACAGCAATGCCAGGAGGGCCCCATTCAGCATGTGCATCTGCAACCTTAGAAAAGAGATGTAATATTATTTTCATAGAAAGAAATAAAATGCAGTTTTCACATATTTTATGTAGTATATCTTCAATAAAAGGTAGCAAGAGATTTAAGAAAATTCTTTTGGCTTGAATTTGAATAAAGCCACTGTTAAAATTCAATAACGAGGGCAAAAACCTTTCTTTAAATACACACTTAAATAATTTCCTAAAGTAGGACTGCTTTCTATAATGAGCTTTGGATTCCTAGAAAGCCTGGACGGCCCATTTGTGTTAATCCTGTTTATGATGCAAGCCAGTAGTTCGAATTTTGCTGTTCACTTGTCTTTCAGAGCTTAAAATAGCATATTTGATAAAGGGTTTTTACTCCTAACTCTATAAGTGTACAGGTTCAAGGTAAAGCTTCAGGAATTTGGAATAAGTCTCTTAAATAAAAGAAGAATTACATTTGTCAAAATGCAGCAGCAAGTCCTAAGCAAAGAATAAGGCAAGAAAGTAATACTGTAACACAGTATTCTGCATAGCTTTCAGCCATCTTTTTCTGAACCACTGTTACATCACAAAAGCACAAAAATAGTATCAGTACTGTTTCAGTCTACTTTACATAAGACACAAAATAAAAAACTGTCTACAAGCACTGCCTGTCATAAACTGTTAGGAATTTAGAAGTAACTTGAGGGGGAAAAAGGTATTACAACTTCAAAACAGTTTTTCAAACATAATTGATATGCTGTCAGGGTGTTAGAAAACAGAAAGGTTCATTCTGAAAAACAACAAATACTGTGGCGTCCGCTCTGTAACCAGTCTTCTACAAACGCACAGTAAATCCAGGATTTCCTGGACACCAGATGTACTTTTCACACTCTCTGAGGTGGAGATGCTGACAGAATCTCTGTATTCAGCCTACCCCCAGCCCTAATGACCAGCAGGAAACATTGTAGACACACAGTAGCAGTCCCAAAATAATTCCTGAAGCATGCCCCCAGCATCATTTTTCCAGTCACTGCTTAGACTAAGAGAAGAAAGAACCGAGTTAACTGTCACGGTGGCAACTAGAGCCACTCCTGACTGCCACTCTGTCGGGACGGTCCCGTCAACCCCCCCCCCAACAGGACTAGTTACAGCCCTCAGCTGCCGACTGGACTCGACTGCAGTAGCCCAGTAGAGCTTCCTGCACACTAGAACTCCCGTGGTTCCTAAAGTCAGTAACAATACGCAGTATTTTAGAAAAGATTGCATAGATTTGAGAAATATCCAAATTGGCAAGAATTTGCTTTCACTATTTAACTTCTATATACACAGTTTTAAAACTAAACCAATACTGTGTGCATGGCCTTCAGTGAAGCCCAGTTACTGATTTTTAGTGAGGATAATAAAAAGGTACAAGGCCCATGACGTAAATGACACGTGCAATTAGATTAATCTGTAGAAAGATGCTTCCATTCTCATCTGTTACTGAGCTAATTCATGTTGCTAAGCAGGGCCAAAACCACCGGTACAAAAGAACCAAGGGTATCCACGATTTAAGCCCTGACCTTTTTCAAGGTGTCATTTTTCAAACCAACATGCCTTTCCAAATGGATACAGATCTTAGTATTTTATGACTTAAACTGTGTTTAAATTCTAAAATATATTATGCAAGTAGACAGAAATACAGTAAGGAAGAAGCATTACCTGAAGAGAATCATTGCAATCCGACATGGAGGACAGGCAAGAAGAAAAATCTGAAATGTTAAAAACAAGTTTAAATTAATGATACAATGTCTTTCAGACTCCATTTTCTGTATCTTTCTTTCCCTGTTCCATATGTCCCAAATCATTTCCAACCAGAAGAACTGTTTTACAGCAGAACTAGAAAAGACTAAATCTTGAACAAATTAAAAGGTCTCACTTTACCTACACATAAAAGGATTTAGGCGGTATGAGCAGCAGCTACGGTTCGGCTTCTGCCAGTGCCTAAGAAACAAGTCAAACTCTAGCCTGTTTGATGTTGTAGTTATAAAAGGTCGCTCATAAAGCAGATTACTGTATTGCCCATCATTTTACTACAGCAGCAACCTTAGTCCTCAATCATAAAATCCTTGCTGTGCTGAAAACCAAGCATTTACAATTACAATACCTCCCATCACTTCAGCAGGGCACAAAGATGTCATGCAAAATGACTGTCTATAAAGCCTCTTAATACTTCCCAAAACAAGGCTACCACAGACCTGCTCTATCCATAAGCTTAGTAGTCATCTTTAAATATGTTCATTGCCAGACTCAGAGTATTTTTAAAGTACTGTAAAATTTCCACCAATTATTAGCCAGCTATTTCACAAGACTGAAAGTAACTGAATACAATTGTTCTTCTTTGAGGCCATACTCCTACGACAAATAGGACCAGATTTAAATTTTTATGTAATAAAGCATTTTTGATTTGTAATCATACCACATCTAAATTTATAAGGTAACCATTATCTTTTGATACTGCTGTCCAACACCTCTCACAGCAACTTAAAAAACTTCATATTGGCAAGTCTTACACTAGGTATGAAGAGATTACTACACAAGTGTTCAGTGATAAAAATACTATTTTTTATATCATCCACTACTGCAAAGATGAGACTTTCACCTACTGTTTTTACTGCTGTTGCTAAAATAATTTCACAATAGATTATTCTACTGCCAACCTACAAAACAAATTATCATTAAATAACTTCAAATGAAAACATTTAGAGAATATTTCTGCTTTGTGGACAAGTCAGATTAGACAATTCATCAACCATGTTGCTCTGAAATGTTGCAGGGCTGGGGTGAGGCCCCTGATGTACATTCAAATTATTTACTACCAGATCATGTACTTGCTGCCATAACAGTCGAAATGTTGAAGCCTGGATCATACTACTGAGCCCTCGTGTATAAAAGGGTCTTGCTGTGGTTACCATACAAATAAATGTACAAATTCTATATATTTTATTTCCAGTTCAAATTCTTAATTCACAGCCATTTATTTCTCTGATTCACTTACTTGTACATTTAATTCAAGTCAGTGTCAATAACAGTTTAGAACATGCACACACACACAAAAATTGTTTTTACTAAGTCATACAGAACTGTAATAAAGGCAAGAAGAAGGCAACAAATTTAACTGAACCTCACGGCATTTTGTTAGTGAATACTGTTAAAATCCAATCAGAGTTTCTCTGCAGTCTTGTATTGAAAAAGCAAGTAATTTCAACTCGTCAGGGCAGGTTAAAGAGGAAAAGAGCATAACATGCATGATAACAACCCACTAATGGATGCCTTTTTGTGTTAAGAGAAAAAAAAAAAAAAAGGAAAAACTATATGCCAGGAAAATCTTATGAGATGTCTATATACCACCTTGCACATAAGACCCATATGGCTTCTGGGAAAAGCTCCTAACACTTTTATTATTCTTTATTATTTCATCATTGCATATTGTTGCAATAAACTTTGTTTACTAACTAAACTAAGTCCCTTGAGTTGTGGACTATATTTTCCCTTCTTTGGAGACCATACCGGTTTCTTACAATAACTATTTTTTCCCATGCTACTTGCATGCATTAGTAAAACTTTTTAAAGACTCCATGCTGTATGCAAGCAAAAGGAGATATTTAGTCTCAATACTTCAGCCAGACTTAAATTCAGATTATTTTCTGATTTCCTTAAATTAAGAAATCTGACAGAAGATACACGTTACTTTCGAAGCACAGTTCACACCTTCATGGAAGAAACTCTGCTCTCCCAATATAGAATTTTATTTCCTTTTTATTTCCTACATCTTTAACAAAACCAGATTGACCCTTTTCTCTATATGCACAAAATAATCAAACCAGAAATATGTCTTAATCACACCAGTCATTTCTTTTTCTGATACACTGCAGAGTGCTCCGACTACCACATGGTAGAGTAAAAACCACAATACAAGTCTGTATACTGTCTGAATCTCACCACTGAAGATAAAAAAAAAAAAAAGCTAGTATTAAAAAAGGATGGTATTGTCACAAAGACCGAGATGGACATACCAATCTAAAATACTTCACTGCCATGGAGACAGGCAAAGAAGAGAACAAATTCACAGCTGCTTATTTTTATGTCAACTCGACTGCAAGAAACAGTTTCAGCAACTGACGAAGGAAAAAAAAATATTTAATATTTTTAAGCATGCAAGTCCCTTTCTTACGAGTGATCTTTCAGCAAATAAGCCTGACTCCCATTTCTTATGACAACAGAAAAATTGTAACTAGAATGTTTATGTTAAAACTTCATGACAGTGGAAGAGATCTTCAAATGTTTCAGTTTTAGCAGTTTAATATCAAGCACTTTCTCTCTCAATATGTATACACTTTTTATGATAAATAAATCTTAGCTTCTTAAAAGGGATGTTTTACAAGACACCCTTGCATCTGATTTTCAAAGAACTGTATCACTAAGTAGACTCAAACATTATAGAGTGTCATCATTCAGCTCAGACTGATTAGCAGTCTTAAAATACCTAGTTCACAGCAGACAAGCTCACAGGCTCTAACACACAAGTGCTCACATACTTATCCCATAATCATATTACATTTCACTGTCATACTGGAAATAAAATCCTTTGCCTTGCAGGAAGAAACAGCTATGTTTTATAAACCACACGATGTCATATTAAATTAGCGGCATGGCTGTGAAGAGTTCCCAGCCTCTGTTTTCCTGCTGGAACGCTCCAGGTTTTACGCGCTCTGTCTAGCACGGATGTGAACCCCGCTTCACCGCCACACTGCAGAGTTCGAGCACAAACAGGGCAGCATATATTTTAAAGCACACTGCAGTAGGCTTCTCCTTATTCAAGGCAGAATAACTAACCATTCAGTTTAGAAGCACTAAGATACAACTTCAATGTCCCTCCTTATTCTGTCAGATCTGTCACCTGTTACATTTTCACATTACAAATTAAAGGACAAAAAAAATAACTGAAAATCCAAGCTGTACAAAAGTAACTATTTCAGGAAAGAAAAATAAACTATAAAATTGTCTGATAGGCTGAATTCGGGGCACAGAATTCCCTTCCCCTTTAACCTCTCTCTCAAAAAGAAAAGATTTAGAAAAGGGCTACATAGGTCAACAAGAACAATCAAAAAGTATAGAACATCTTCCATACACAGGTTGATTTAACACAACAAGACTCTTCAATATGTAAAAGATTATAGGTGAGTGAGAGAAAGCAAGGGTACAAAAATCATGAGTGGTCTTGAGGAAATGTACAGATAACAAGCCCTAGGTGAGTACAACATTGTGAGCCAGGATGTCTGAATCCTTTTCACCAGCACAGACCCAGAAGATTCTACAATTGTTCTCAGGCAGTAAATTTTAAAGAAACTCGTAACGCCGGTCAATCCGCAAACTGAAGTTCACTTCAACCTTGAGGACCCATATGAAAACAGAAGTCTGCAATTCTGTCAATATACTTCATAATTGCTCTGCAAGATCATAAATATCATTGCCCATCCCTAAGGAAAATACTTCTGGCATGAAGAACTGCACGGCCAGCACTGCCCCGCATAAGCTCAAATACAAAGGTCACACCGCAACACACGATGGATCAGCAGGGCTGTAATAATTTGGAAACTAACGTACAGGACTGCACTGCTTAACTATTCCTTCACTGAGACAAGATCTTTGACTAAACTCATGGTTGCTCTGAACTAACCCAGAAATCAGTCTCTTCTACATTCCCTTCTTCCAACCATGAACTAAGAAGAAGAGAAAGCTTCAAATGGTATCTGCAAGCCTGAGACAGGCTGGAAGGCAGAAGGAAAAGGATGGCATTTTTCTGCCTGTAGTAATATGTTTTTAAATTTTTTCTAAAAGAAACGTGTGGCCCTGTCATTCAGTATTTAATGGAGTTCCCAAGAAACACCTTTTGAGTTCAGTAAACTTCAGAGATCATAATTTCCTCAAACCTGGCTGTGTCAGTGTAGCAGGCAGAAGAGGCTGTATGTAAAAGGCCTATTCTGAAGGCAGTAAGAAGGTAACATTGCATTAGTTTATTCAGAATGATAGGTAGCAACAGGTAGATATCACAAAGTATTACATTGGTCCTCCACAAATCCCTGTTAATTCTCTTTTTAATCCTTAACAGAAAGCATAGCTAAACAAGGGAAATGTTACTATTAAAAAGGAACCGGGTAGCTGGGAAAAAAAAGGATCATTTCTCATAAATTCATTTTTAGAAGTCCAAATTTACAAAAATAATTACTCCTTGATATTGCAGTAGTGTCTCTAGGTAAAAGTCAAATTCACATGCATGGAAAAAAGGCTAAATATCAACCAAAATAAGCTGGTGTTTTGCAGAAAGTTATGTATTTTAATTGATTATATCAGTTTTCCTAGTACCAAAATCTGACAGGAATAGGTACTCAAATTTCAGAATTGTGGAAAAAATCCAATACTTAAACAAACACCCCAAAATCCACAGAGGACTGCAACATCATGAATCCAAAAAGAACTGTTAACTTTAATCTGACCTTCCCTTAATACAATTCAATTTCCTTATCTCTATTCACTGTTAACCCCTAATAGCATTTTTACTTCTTGCATTTCAAACATTACATGTGCTGCAATTATCACATTAATTTGGCAGTATTAGAGGTTTCCATTATTTGATATTTCAAGTTCATACAAAAAGAATTTTATTCAACCAACCTCTTTTACACTTTGCTTAAATCTAGATGTGCAATGG